GATATGTTTATGGGTGTCAAACTATCAGGGGATAGATTCATGATGGTTAATGTGATTTCTGTTTACGAATTCTTTCTACATGTGTCTCTAAGGGTATTCTATTACTGGAAGAGATATATTTGGCTTGGTAGGTTGAGTAAAGCAGACAGCCTCCCCCAGTTTGGGTGAGCACCATCTACTCCACTGGTGGCCTGAATACAGGGAAGTTGAGTTAGCTGCCTGGCCATTTTATATTCTCTCCCCCTCACTCACATTTTCTCTTCTCACTCTCTCTCAGTCTCTTTCCCTGCTTCTCCTCTCCCCGTGTATAACATAGGAAGCAATTATATAATCAGAATCCAGAAAAAGATAACTATTCTCTTAAGTTAACCTGTATCCTTGGGCATTTGTTGAAGACTGAACTATAGTTTTGGTGAACTCATGGTAAAAGGCAGTGAAGCCCAGGTCAAGGATTGTGGCTCAGGTGAGAATCTGACATTCACTCCTGCCTCTGCCTGTTAAGCTTAATACAAAGTCAGTTTGGTCTGAAGAAAATAGATTATAAAAGCTGATGGTGCAGTCACATTTTAAAAAATCAGCTAGAACGTACAGAGCTAAAGCTTTGCTAACTAGTGCATTAAACACAACTGAAGATTAGTAAACCAGAAATTAGAACTAAGAAAATAAAAGCTAAAAAGTAAAGAAATAAAAGTAAAGAGGATAAGAAACACAAATGATAAAATAGCAGAGCTCAAATAATTTTAAGAGAGTCTTAAAGAGGAGGGAGAAAGTAGTATGTGCAAATTTAAAGAGAATTGATACTTTTCTAGATAAAACTATCTCTACAAATTCAAGCAGCTCATCAAATGCCAAATGGCAGGGATTCAAATAAGTCCACCCAATTCTGATACAATGTTACTGTAAATCAAATTTAGAAGAAAATCATGAAAAACCTGATTGTCTAGGTCTATGTCTAAACTAAGTTTAGACTATTAAAACTAGTGCGCACACACGGATCAGTAGCCAGGGAAACTGCAGAAGATGGCTTTCTCGATCCCAGGTTGGATCAAAGTAATTGAGCAACCGTGAGAATTGGCCAAGGGCCCATTCCTGGGTTTTGTTTGTTCACCACCTGCATCTCACGGGAGAAGGGGAAACACACTAAGGAGTCTTTGGCTGCTGCTCAAAGCCCTGGATACTGAAGAACAGGCTATGTATGTATGGATAGCTATGGAGAACCAAGCTCCCTGAAGCTGAAAACAGAAGGCTTTCTGAGATCACATGTGGGAAAACATGAACAAGTTAAGCATGGCTATAGCAGGAAGTCTTTTGTGTTACAGAATGACTGGTCTTTGGTGGTTTTGCTTGACTCCAGGTTATTTAGTGACTTTCGGTGACAAAGACATTCCTCCTTCTGCTCTGTCTCAGAGGGAGAGGCTCTTCTCTTGACACAGGCATTATTTGCCTTAGTGCCGATAGCTCTAGGAAGAGATAGGAGCTCATGGAAACCACTGAACACTAACAGTTGGGATCTCTCTATCGCTTGCTTTCTTTCTAGTGACTCCCATGCCTACGCACTTTCTTGCACTTGTCATTTTGACATGGAAGAGTCATAAAACGTCCACTCATGATGTGTCTGGTCTAAGAACTGTCTGATATGTCTGTCCCAGTAATCTGGGACATAACAGAGGTCAAGTTCAGAAACATTTACCGAGCACCTGCCAGGCATTGTGACAGTTGCTGGAGACAATCTCAGATGAGACAGACTCCATCACAGAGGCAGCAACATCTTCTGAGCAAGACAGGGCTCTGTCAGTAACTGGATTGAATCCTTTCCCTCGGATTGACAGCTCAGAATTGGTTTTCAAGTTTAAAGGACATAAACCTGAAGTGTCCATCCATTGTTCACTGTGAAGTTAAACCTCCAAATACAAGCTCATGGACTGGTGGCATTTGGTCTGTCCCCCCAGGCTTCAGCCCTCAACTCTCCCTGTGGGTGCTGAGGTCCACAGTTCTGGAGAAGGGCACACAGCAGATGGGCACTGCACTCTTGGGGCATGAAGATGCCAGACGCATGGGCAGAGTTAGAGACACTCCTGAGTTCTCAAGACTGGTCTCCCGGACTGTACCGTTGAACATCTTCTGGGAGAAGCCCAGCGTCCCTTTCCAGCTGCAATGCACTCGCCCATTGTCACCTGGAATCCCTCTGTGGCAAAGGTGGCTGGGTGGGTAGGAAGGGGGAAAGGCGGGCGGGCCCTTGTGTAGAGTGGGGATGCAGCCCAGACACTGTGCACCACTTTGAGCTGGGGGGTGGGGTAGCGGCGGTGATACTTTCTCCATGTAGATGTGGAACATTTGATGTTACTTTGTGCTGGTTTGTTTTTAAAATAGAACATTTGCCCTGCTAATAAGCTAATGGAGCCTGTTTCTCTTTTTATAAGAGGGCGAGGATGACGTCAGTTTGTTGACACTTGGTTGTTGGGCTTTTTTTTTTCAGCTGTAGCTCTTTTATCTTCTCACACCTTTCTGCTACAGATTTGTTCTTCATATTCACCCCCTTCCCTACCCCCGCCCCACCTCCCTATTTCTATAAGTGGTTAGGTCTTTTCAATGAGCTCATTTATTAGGGCCTAACTATATGCAGATGTGTTCGCCATCGCCATGCGCAGCCCGATGGAGTCCAGGCAGCTTAGGTGTATCGTGCGCACTTCCCAGGAAAAGAAGCCCAGAGAAGTTTCCAACTCGCGGAACTGGAGTTTGAGGGCACAGCTTTCTGATCCCCAGAGCTGCCCTACCCTGGGAGGGTAGAGACTTCTGTGTCAACCCCCCCCCCCCGCCCCGTGTCTGCCTGCAGTGCTGGTGAAGGTTTACCAAGCTCTCCACGCCAGCTGCTGTGGGAGGGACCGTCAGGACCATACCACCCAGGGCTTTGGATGTTTGCTTGCAGACCCGTTTGGTGCTTCAAGAAGCCGTGGGGAGAACCCCCTGCCCAAGGCTGCAGCTGCTATTTTCAGCCCGGGATCTGAGCAAACCTCTGAAAGAGAATTACTGTAAACCTGGTCCTTCCAATACACCCCTTTCCAGTGATTGCAACTCCCGGCTCACTCTGGCTGGAGGTCTAGATTGCAAGATAAGGAGGGAACTGGGCCAATTTTCTGGTTGTTTTTTTGGCACTGAGTTCTTGTGTTTTTACAGCAGCCACGGGCCCTACATCCTTCCTGGAGACTCTAGGGTAGGACACAAATAAACCCCCCCTCTTTCTACTCCTCCAGCCCCTGGCACGGCGTCTGTCTTGATTTGCTATGCTCTTGGAGACCCCGTTTTCTGGGTGGGAGCTCCCATCTGTCCCCCATTATAAGGTATGGTTTTTTGAGGGGCTCCTGGAAATGCGTTGCAGGTGGGTCCCCTGACACTTGGCTTGCTGCTCCTTCAGCACTGTTTGCTTTGCCTAATTGTGTTTTCTCTGCTGGTTTGAGTGGAGTTGCTCTTGCCCATTTTGTCAGAATGCTACATGGTGCATCTGGTGCCTATTTGCCTGGGGAGGGCCAGGAGCAGGGTGGCTAATTGAAGGCTTGGCACAGGGCATCGAGGAGTAAAGGGAGGTGAGGGAGCTGGGGAGAACTTAGAGAGCACGGTTGGTTTGAGCTTTGCACAAGCACCAAAACTCCACAAGCGCTGCTCGTCTGCTTGGTTCCTGTCCAGAAACAGAGCCTTGAAAAAGGCCCAAGGGTAAGGCTTTGATGTGTCTGCAGTTTTGCTTTGAGTCCATGGCACCCCACTTTCCCCAGGGCTATTTGCAGGTGGCCAGGGCATGGACAGGAGAGAAGGAAGGACAGAGAAGACCACCTGTGGCGATTCTCTTGCCCACCTCACTAGGACCCAGCCTTTAGTCCTGCATCGAGAGCTTTGGCTCTGGTCTGATTCCAGGACACCAAACAGAAGGAAAAGTGAAGTAGAACCTACTTGGAATCCACTTCTGGCAGAGACTCAGGACAGCTCAGCCTGCCCTGGAACTCTCTCTGTCTGTCTACCTACTTCTCTGTCTGTCTTTCTGGGCCTCTGGCATTGAGAGATGACAAGAACATGCCCCCTCCTCCACTCAGAAAGTTTGGATTTCAGATCTCAGATCCCGAAAGGTGTTGTGTAAATCTGGTAAGGGCCTGTTCACTTTGGAGCCTCAGTTTCTGCATCTGTAAAATGTGGTAATTCACACACTGTTCGATGAATGATCGAAATGATTGAAAACACATCAGCCCTGTGACTATGACCCCATACACAGTCAAGGAAGCCTGGGAGGAATGCAGCTGTATACTCGAATAAGGAGGCTGAGCCACTGGGTGGAGGTGCTCTCAAGAGTAAGGACAGCAGGGGAGCGGAGCCAGACCTCTGGATACCCATGAGGCCCTTGATGCACAGCGTCTTCATCCTCTAGGTGGCGCTCCGGAGATAACTCCGGAGATCCCACCTATTTCGCAGCAGCTTGCCCTTGCTGTGGTTGCTGTCTTTTCTAAAGAGGTCCAGATTTAGGGCTTCCCCTCTGGGTCCCTCTATGCAACCCAGTGCTTTCAAGTGGGTTCAGCACGCTCCGGCACTTGGCTGCTGTCCCTGCCTCCCCTTGATGAGAGCCTGAATCTCTAATGTGGGTCCTGCCGGCACCATGCCCACTGTCATTACTGCTGGGGTGGCAGAAGCCTCTATCTCTGGCCCTAAGCCCAGTCCAGGCCACTGCTGCAACTCTGCCACCTCATGGACTCGGTCCACCCCCACGAAAAGGTGACCTATTTGGGTGTTGTGTTGCTGGCTATGTACATCTGTGGACAGCGAAGCTCCCAGAAAAACAGGGCAACTTGGAGAAGGCAAGAGTCCGTTTACAGGCGAATTTGAAGGAATCTCACGACATTGGTTTACCCAAGGCAGTCCCAGAACAACATGGAAAGAAACAGAGAGCTGGGGAAGGAAGGGAGGGAGGGAGGGAGGGAGGGAGGGAGGGAGGGAGGGAGGGAGAGAGGAGGAAGCCGCTCACAGCAAGTTGTAGAATGGCCACTAATTCTGACAGCTGCTCCATGCTCGTGGTTTCTTAGGCATTCACACCCAATCCTAATGAACTGTGTCTGTGGCCTGACAGGAGTGTTCTCACATGTCACTGGCACCTTGGGTGGGGGCAGCTGGCGAGGGCACGGAGGAGGACTTCGGGTCTCAGTACTCCTACACGAGCACTTTCTTGATCTGAAGTTCAGTGTCCCCTTATAAGAACAAGGATAAAGATATTGCTCTTACACAGAATAGAGACACACAGTAGGTCCTGGAAAAAGTCACGCCTCCCTAAGTTAATAAAAGGGCCTTTGGCTGTCTCCCTCTGTTTCCTATGTAAATCTTTGATCCCTGACTCCTCATTCCTCACTACGTCATCACTGCAAGGAGCTGGATTGTTGCTAGATACCCGTTGAAGGCAGGACAGCCCCTGTCTGTCCCAGAGGATCTATGGGAGTGGCATTCAGTACCTGCTTGATCAATATCTCGGGAGGCACAAGAGAGGTGAGTATCTGTTTATATTTGAGTGAGCTGCTTGCGGATGAATCTGATGAAAAGGGAAGGGTGTGGAAAATATGAGAATTCACAAAACAGTAATTATAAGGAGAAGCCATGAAATTAACACAAGAAGAAAGAAAGAGAAGCTGTGTGGGGAAGACCACACACGCGGCTTGTGATTCTGGGTGTATTTAAGCAAGCATGAAGGTTGTGGGGCAAAAGGATCAGTGCCAGAGAGAGAGAGGAGTGTAAGGATTTGAGGAGTAGTCTGTGCTAATCGGTGATGAAGAGAGGGGCAGGAGGATGGAGTACAGGAGTTCGACTGAAATGGGACAGGGGTCAGGGGTTGTTGGAGGTGAGGGGGTCACGGAACTCAGAGGACAGGTATGGATGACTCACTATCCTTCCAGGCTGTGAAGTCACCAGAACACTGATAGGAGTTGGGGTGGGGCACCAGGTGCTAAAGTGATGAATGGATGGAAGGGAATAGCTCGATATACGCAGCAGTAGCAAGTAGGTGGTGAGGGATGAGATTTGATGGCATGGACTTTTTTGGAGGAAGAGAGAAGAGAACATGTTTGACAGTGCGAAGAGACATCCCCCCATCCTCACCCCGCCCCCAGGTAAGGAGGAAGGATTCTACTTGAGAAAGAACATGCCCAGGTTCCATTAAGGCAAAATATGAAATGACCTTACCAAAGAGGAAGATCGTAAATAGTAGGAAATTGCCTGACGACAGACTCTGGGCCTCGGGAGACTTAGTTGGTGAAGGTTGGGACCGCGAACAGAGACACTTGCCTTACAGGGTTAGTGGAAAGTGGGACAACAGCTATGTGTAAGGTGGTGGCAGTGGTTGTGACGGTGGTGACAGAGATCACCAGAGGAATGGGAGTTAAGGGGAAGCAGAGGCAGTTAGGACTCCAAACATCCTCATGCACCACCATTAACTGGCTGTATAGTCTTCCTCTGGGCCGTGGTTTTTCCATCGATGAAACAAAAACAGTCAGAAAAGATCAGTGATTATGTGTGTGTGTGTGTGTGTGTGTGTGTGTGCATGTGTGTGTCTATGTGTGTATTATACATATATGATAATTTCCTGGAACACTTTTTCAAAATGTGCCTATGAACCTCCCCAAAGAGTCAAATGCCATTCTCTTCGAGTAAGAACCCAGGAGGAGCATTTTGAAATATTTCCACAGACAATGTAACGAGGGCTTCCTCCTATTTCTCAGCTCTGTTTTCTTTCTTTAAGGATTGCTTTGCCAAGAACCTAGTCTGCCTTTCCAAATGGCACCATTCAGAAAGTGATAGTGAGCCAGATGTGGCTTGTCAGCTGGGTCATAGCAGTTATCAGAGGAGACCAGACACGGTGCGCTCTGCCCTCAGTGGGCCAATGGCCAGAGAGCAGGCAGCCTTATTTTTACAGCTTCGGTCTCTGGGCATTTTTCCCACATCATTGCATAAGATGAGAACTGAGTCAGCATAGCTAACTTTTTGTTTTGTCTTGTTTTGGGTTCAGTGTGGGATCACAATGGTTGTTGTTGTCTAGCCTAGGTACTTAGTATCCTTGAAGGTGGCCGTTGGTCAGTAAAGGATAAATCAGGGGACAGGGGCACACTGAACTCTTGTATTTCAGACATCCTTGTGTCCACAGTGCTCAGAAATGTGCCTGGCCCCGGTGGGAACTCAACAAATATTTGTATATCACCAAACACAACAAAACAGCGATTTAGGGGAACCACTGGTTTTCAAATACAGAAAGTAAAAGGATAGCTGCAAACGAACCAGCATGTGATGCTATCCCAAACTCACATAAAAGTGGAAGGACAAATAAAAACCGCCATCATGCAAAGACAGGAAGACTGCCACCTACACATCCTGTTCAGGCAGAAGACTCTAGAAAGAAAGAAAATGAACCTAAAATATGGCCAACGAAGGAGTGGGTAAGCAGTGTTCACTCACCCTCCTTCTGCAAATTTCCTAGCAGTGTAAAAGAGAATAAACAGAATCCCAGGTGATCTTAACACAATGGCTGTGGAATAGGAGAGAATATAGGACAAGTGAGAAACAAGTGGGCTGATTTGGAGTTGAGTGAAGTCAATAGATAGTTTGTTCAGGGATGTAGCAGTGTTCATCAATTCTAGATATTCATTGAAAAGCGCGTGCTTGGCTAGACACTCAAATTTAGGAATAGTCAGGTGTGCTGACTTGTTTTGTGTCAACTTGACACAGCTAGAGTCATCTGAGAGGAGGGAGCCTCAACTGAGAAAATGCCTGCATAAGATCAGATTGTAGTCAAACCTGTGGGGCATTTTCTTAATCAGTGATTGATGAGGAGGGCCCAACCCATTGTAGGTGGGGCCACCCTGGGCTGGTGGTCCTGGGCTCTGTAAGAAAGTAAGCTGAGTGAGCCACAGGGAGCAAGTCAGCAAGCAGCATCCCTCCATGGCTTCTGTGTCAGTGCCTGCCTCCAGGTTCCTGCCCTGCTTGAGTTCCTGTACTGACTTCCCTTAGCGATGGACTATTATCTGAAAATTTAAGTGAAATAAACCCTTTTCTCCCCTACATGCCTTTGGCCATGCTTTTCCTTCCCAGCAACAGTAACCCTAACTAGAACAGGTATAAATATTCAATAAATGGTGAGAAAGGGAACTGCAAGACGCATGAGAAACACAAAATTATGCTTGTAGAAATACTTCCAACCACATTAGCAATCACAATCTGTGTGTATGTGTGTGTGTGTGTGTGTGTGTTTATTTGACTAGAAGTTTCTTTCAATAGAATGGGAAGTCCATGGGTTGTCCTATCATCTTATATATTCTCTGTAATCTTTATATGTACATATATGCTTATAATATATATTTGTTTTAAAAATATTCACATGTATGCATATATAGAGAAAAAGAGATGAGGGGAGGAGGAGAGAAAGGGTAATATTCCACTATGCTTTTAATTTGTATTTCATATTAACTCTCTCTTCCAAGTTTACTGACCACACTTGTGAGATAGTACAATAAGCAAAGTCAATTACTACCAAGTCTAGTGACTATACAAATATCTTCTTGTAAAATGCCAATTTAAATTTGGGTTCATTTTATAATAGCTTACCTCTTTTTATTTTTTTTGCAGATTCTTTTTACATATTGTAGATATAGCTACCAGAAAATTTTAATATAGATGCCTAAATAATTAGGGGCAGAAGAGGAAATTCTACTGAAATTACAAGCAACTTTAGGAATGAAGGAAAATATCATCATAGCACTGAGAAAATTGGATATATGTAAAATGATACTCAGAGGATAGGTCATGGCTTTTAAAATCCTAATGAGAAAGATGGTTTTAAAGTGGCGTATCCTTATAACCAAGAAGCTATAGCACAAATACTAAAGTGACCACCCCTCAAAAGTGGAACAAAGGATTAGCAGATTTTAATATATTTTAATAAGGTACCATCTATGAGATAGGAAGAAATTCACAAAACAGCATTTGAAATTAAGATATATATATGGAAAAACATCCTGTCTGAAGGCTTAAAATATAAACACATACCATGTTCAATTTCATTACCATACATTTGCTGATTGATATTTTAAAATGGATGATTTTTGTAGGTAAACATGAATTCTAGCATCTACTGAAAGGAGATAATTATAGAAATGTTTAAAAGTTAGTCAGTGTTAGTCATAAGCTTGGATCATCAGGGAACAGATAATTTTGGAGTTGTATCACTTCATTTACAGCACAGCATAAAACTGGTTGCTTCTCTCCTCATCTGGGAGGATGGTATGAGCACATGCTCATACCACAGTAGACAAAACATACCATGAGGAGTGCAAACAAATGATCCGTCACAGTTATAAAACCCTAAGCGAGGCATTAGCAATGTAGATCCATTTATATATTAAAAGACTAATGCGTCTTAACTAGGTAGGGTTTATCTTTGAAATGACCACATGTTTCAACATTAGGAAACCTGTCAGCCTGATTCATTTGATCAAGAACTAGGGGAAAAACTCAATTCTGATAGATTTAGAAAAATATGACACATAATCTAACAAAGATCCACTGACGATGAAAAAGAAACAACCAAACAGAAGTCTATCCAAACCCAGCTCCTTGTGAATGAAAGAAGGAAACTCTACACAAACTCCAAACTCTCTGGTTTAAAATCAGAAGGAAAAAAAAAGACAGTGGCAACTCAACCTTTCAATGATGAGAAGAAATAACGAAAAGAAAGAAAACACAGTTCTTGAAAGGGGGAGGTAGAAATTGCTCTTACTTGTAGAAATTATAGCTTTCTTGTTTTTTAGAAAACCCATGCAAATCAACTGTAACATTATTTGAACTAATGAGAATTCAGCAAATTGTACAGATTCCATTCTTCATTAATAAGCAATTGTGAACATTCTATGAGGTTAAAACAGATAGCATTTACTGATTGGGATGTCCTTCTGTATATATGTTTCTCTTATTGGTTGATGAATAAAACACCGATTGGTCAGTAGCCAGGCAGGAAGCATAGGCAGGATGCTGGGGAGAAGAGGCAGAGAGAAGCTGCCAAGGAGACGCTATACTACTGAAGGAGTAACACGCTGGATTATGGCTAAGCCACAGCCTCATGGCAATACATAGTTTAATAGAAATGGGTTAATAATTAAGAGAGAGCTAGCTAGTAAGAAGCCTGAGCCATTGGCCAAACAGTTTATAATAAATATGTCTCAATGTGCTTATTTGGGGCTAATCAGCTTCAGGTCAGGCAGGAAAGAAACTCTGTCTACAATTTACTCAACTCTAAGCCACACAGGGCTAAGCTGAATAAAAATCTTTATGAACAATTGATTCTGTTATTAATGGGGAGGGCCTAACTAGGTAAGATGTGCCCCATTTGCAACATTTACCCAATAACTCTCCATCAAGATCATGAGTCAAAACCATATCTGTCAAATTTTAAAATAAAAGTTTTACTTACCTGTCAAAATTACGTTTTTGTTGTTTTAGTATCTTACCCTGATTGACATCAGGTTGCTGTATTTGTTTGTTTGTTAGGTGGGTTGTTTTTTATTTGATTTGGTGGATTTTGCAGAACTGTCATTGTCCCAGAAAGTGACTTCTGGTCATGTGTTCAGTGGTCAGTACATCATGTCATAGAGTTGTCTAGTGTTCAGAAAGAAATAAAGTGCGTTGAAGGTATTAGGACAGTCTGTGGCTGGTCTCTAGGAAGCCAGGAGGGACTCGATTGGCTGCAATATGATTTGATGGTACCAGTGTTGTCCAGAACTGTGGAGTCAATATTCACAAAGAATACAGGCATCTTGCACGATGCCCTGTTCTCTGACTATGTGGAAATGTTGTCTCAGCCTCTGGTGGACTGAATAAATGTGCCATTCTCTTTATTACAAACCTAGGCTGCTCTTGAGAAGGATGGCTGCCAGGGTTCATCCACCTATTCTCCATACATTTGAAATGCAACTTACAGACTGACCTGTCTAGGCCTGAACTTCGTATCTGAACCAAGAACTCCAAGACATCAGGACAGGAGAACTTGGGGGTCAGTTTTCATAAGGTCTTTACAATCCTGGAAGAGAAACAGTCAGAGGCTTTGACATTCATGATGCTGGAACGGTGTGAAAACAGAGGAAATGACACAGCTCCTGTTTTAGAGAACAGGTGTTAGTCTACAGAGGGTTTCTGAGAACTTGGTAGTTTATCTCAGGGCAGGAGAACATCACAGGGATATGTACCTTTCCATGAAGAGGTGACTACAAATATTAGGGTGAAGTAAAGCAGACCATCAAGTTAATGCTGGTTCCTGGTAGTCATCTCCACATGTGTGATCTCCGGCTCATTCATGCTTGCTTCCTTGTTGATTTCTCCTGGGCATATTGACAGCGTGTGTACTAGAGTCCTAAAGCACAGTCTAGATCATTGGTTTTCAACCTTCCTGATGCTGCAATCTTTTAACGATACAGCCCCTCATGTGCCGTGACCCCCCCCATCATAATACAATGAATCGTAATGTAAATATCTGATATGCAGGATGTCTGATGTTCAACCCCTGTGAAAGGGTTGTTCAACCCCCAAAGTGTTCATGACCCACAGGTTGGAAAACACTGGTCTGTGCTGGTGAACTGGAGAGAAAGACCCATCTTAGATAGGCTCCTCTACTTTGGTGGTCACCTAATTTTGCTAACTAGCCTCTTCTACATGGATAGTAGAGATACAATAGTTACAGTGGCTAGGGACAGGAGTGTGGGACATCATCCTTCTTATTTCCCTTCTCCCACCTCCACTTCTCTCCCCAGAGTGAACTGAGAATACCTGCTTTATTTGGCCCTGTTTCGATTGGGGGCACAGACTGCAACAGTAACACTAGTAGGTAGGTTTACTAGTAAAGCAAAGCAACAATGAATATCCTATTTGACTACACTTTGTGTAGGCTTGAGAGCTCTCGACAAGGAGGACTATTGACTTTCTTCTTTTACACTCAGTGAATGAGTTTTTAAGCTCTTTCCTGCAAATCTCACATCTCCTGCCTGGCCAGGTAGCATTGCCAACTCCAGCTGACGGCTCAGACAAGGTTTCTCGGGGACACTAGTAAGCCAGGTGCTATCGCTGTTCTGTTTCAGATCATGTGCCTGATTCCAAGTTCGCTGCTTAGCTGTCTTTCAATCCAGTTAGGATAAAGACGTGCATTGTCTTTGCTGGAAAGTAAGTTGCAGGAAAGAGACTAAATGCGTTAATTTCAAGTTAGTCTGAACAAGGAAAGGACAAACCCAATACTCAGCTTTCATGATTCCTTTCAGGTTAAAACAAAAACCCACAGCCCTCTCCTCTGAAATGATAAGATCTGATTACTTAGACATTTTAAAGCCACAATTTAAAACTCTAATCATATTTTAAGAAAAACCAGTAAGTTTGGCAGTAATGAGAATTTTTTTCTTTCTTTTTTTTATTTTTTGCACCCAGAATCACTGTTTTGCATACAGCCCTTCCCATTCCCACTTCACTTTCTCTTTGGAATATAAATTTAAATATAAATGGTCAGACTATTCATGGGTTTTGACCAAGTTCACTTGTCTGTTAGCCACCTTTCAAAGAGAGAATTTTGTCTTATTTTGTTTTTATAATAAGTTTGATATGTTCTCTGGAACATTTAGAAAAGATTACTTGAGTAAAATTCAGTATATTTATAAGACTTTTAAAAATTAAATATCATGGGAATGAAAAGGAAGGCTACAAAATGCAAGTACTGTTTGCATTAAAATGACGTTCCCAACGCTGCCAAATTTTGTTCCATCAGTTAATAACCTTCTGTTTCAAAACAGGAAAGAGGCTGACTCACAGGGAGTCACCTACACACAGGCTTTGCGCGATAATTGTCCAACTGACAGTTCAGAGAGCTGGATAACCCTCCTCCCTGGTCTGTGAATACTGAATTCATTAAGTTTTAAACATTAAAAAAGTTCACACTGAGATTTTCAATTTATTTATTTATTTATTTTAGTGTGTGGTTTACCTGTTTAAGCATTTGGTCAGGAGGTCTTTTTTTTTTTAAGTCTTAACAGTTACATCTTATGCTTTAATTATTCTCATTTTTGATCTAGCTCTAGATCTAAAATTAAAGAGTCTTCTTTTGATGTGGCTATGGGCTTTAAAAAAAAAGCTTTTCAACTCAGAGACATAAAAATCTATTCGTTGGTGAACAGCTCCGGTGAAGAAAGAAAAGGAAGTGTTGACTGGCTTACAGGCTTTGTTTTCCTCAGAAACTGGTTGGTAACTGATTGAAGATGTCTGGAGCATCTCGTGTCTTCCCTGTGGGAAAGGGCTGACAAAGGCTCAAAGTTGCCCCTGGGGACACAAGCATGGCCACAGCCTAGACACTAGCTTCCATACCCGTCTCCAGTACCTCACGATGGACTTGGCTCTCCAGAGGCTTCATGGGAGGTGAGGACTGGAGATTGGAGGCTCAGGGATTGAAGAGAGATCCGTGGGGTTCTTTGGAATATTGTTTCCGTAACTTTTTCCCAAGTGGTAAATAAGAGTCTAACAGGTCTCCCGTGGGCCTTCCACATTTGAGTGAGGGACACAGCATAATCCCCTCCTCTGCTTCTCTCTTCGTTTGGAGTTAAGCATTGAGGCAGTGGTGGAGAGATATACTCTGGTGCTTCGGTACTGTGGCTCTGTGGAGTGGACAACCGGAGGGGGGGGGGGAAGTGTACCGGAATGGAAGTAAACAGATAGTTCCAGAAAAGGAGGAACTGTCCCCAGAACAGGAAGGACAGAGCTACGCTGGGATCACAATAAACAGGCAGAGAGACGGGGAGGGGAGAGAGAGGAGGTAAGAGAGACTCTAAGGAATTAACTCAGAGTCTTGAGAGGAGAAGAGATGGGACAGTTTCTGTTTTCTCCTGAGATGAACCATCTGAAACCCCTGCAAGTTATGAGATGTTACCGAAGCTATGGCAGCAATAATATCAGAGCCACCGTCACCTGGGGGCCTACTGCATTCCAGACACTGTTCTGAATGCCTTGTGTACATAAGCTCATTTAATATTTGCAATGACCCTCTAAAGGCAGAGCAATCTCCACTCCCACTTTGTAGACATGGAGACTCAGATCCAGAGGGGCAATGAGCCCCGTGGGGAAGTAAGTGGTGGAGCAGCGCTGATGTTGAAACGGCCTAAGGCTAAGGTTGGCGCTCAGTGACTGAACGTTTAATAGTGGTGGAGAATGAAGCAAACACTAAGTGGAAATTAAAATGCGGTGCCTAAAATTTGAATGGCGCAGAGTAGAGTGTAGGGGAGGACCCACGTGTAAGCAGAGCCAATGGGACGACAGAAGACACTTTTGTCTGTCTGATTTTAGGGCCACCAGGTTCCTGATGAATTTGGACTCTCTAGGGACAAACAAATGGACAGCAGGAATCTAGTGAAAGCAGTTTCTGCTGGATTGACTCCAGTTCATCCCTGGGACAGCTCCACTGAGCGACTGGGAACTGTGTACTCAGCCATTGGATGGGAATCTCCCAGGGGTGCAGACAGAGCCAGGAGATGACATGGCTAACACAGGTGAGGGGTGTCACAGGGTAGGAAGACTTGCCTGCCTGACCCCTGATCTGGGAGAGAAACTCCATGGTGACATCATGGCAAAGAAAGGAAGACAGGAAGAAAGAAAGAAGAAAGGAAGAAAGAAAACAAACAAAACAACCTGCAGCCCAAATCATGGTCTCCATCATGACTGCCAGAAGGGGGTTGTCTAATTGTTAATATTGGTTTTTTACTTTGACAGAATTTGGAATCTCCTAGAAAAAGAAATCCTTCATGTCCTGTCATCGAAGACATTTCTAGGAGGGCTTAACTGAGAATGAAAAATCTGTTCTGAGTGTAGGTGGCACCATTCGTGGGCTGGGATCCTAAGCTGGGTGAAAAGGGTGAAAGCAAACAGCACCATTCATCTCCTACAGACGCGCGTTCCCCGCCATGATGGACCGTGCCCCTTTGAACTGCAAGCCAGAGCTAGCCACAGCAAGCCAGTCTTTTCTCCATAAGTTCCTTTGGGTCAGATATTTAGTCTTGGAAACTAAAAAATATACATCTTACAATCTGCCTTAACTAATACAAATTATTACTTTTTTTGTAAAACCTCTTCCTCCTAAACTGGAAAGCTGGGCTTGGAGAGGCTCATCAACCAGTTCCCAGCTCTGCAGCTGGCAAATGACAGCCAGGATAAATGATGCATGGCTGTGCCTCCAGTCCTACCGGTTCATCCACAGGTGCCACACAAAGTCCCTGGCCCCTCTGCTTCGGGTCAAATTCTACAACATCCTTTGTGATTGTGCTTGGGAGCGTTGCGCTGTCCACACTTCAGCTACAAGTTATTTTAGGGTTTACTAATGAACCTGAGTGTGATTAAAATTATCAGGACTTTTAGGAGGGTGGCAAAAATGACTCATTTCTCACCTCTATGTACCATGGTAGA